AATTGGTCACTCATCAATTTAAAATAACACTCCGGTCTCCACACTATAATTCCATGAATTCTAATACCCATTAGTCACAATACATCTTTATCGGATCACTTTAATTGACTAATATCCTTTAAATAATAGCACCGCACATTTCAATATACAACGTGTGGCTCCATATATGTTGAAATTATCCAACATTTAAACTTTAATCTCTCTTCTTTCTCTGCTACCATATATGACAGGGCTATTTCAAAAGGCAGACATTAGCATTAATTTCGTGTAACAGAAAGATATCTGCAAGTGTATGGAAGAGGTTTTACCAAACTAAAACACATTTTTCTTATTTCTTCTTTGAAGTCCATAGTTGCTTTCTTATAATGTAAAGTAAAATCTGCCTTCTAAGAGAGACAATTTGTCACCCTATGATCCTAACTGTACGCTGTAGTACTAATGCACATAAATTTATAACGAGGCTTCCCATCTCCGTAAGGTTGGGCTTCTAACCATAGCCTTAAAGTGATAGATAAAAGAGTCAAACTCAACTCCACAAACTATCAGCAATTGAACTCTTCATTTATATCATTTTGTTTACTTATCAAACTGAGAATGTGTTCTCTCTCTCTCTCTCTCTCTTTATAGAAGAAGTTGAGAGAGTGTGGAAAACATTATATTGTGAAGTTTTCTTAGCTATTTCAACTTTTGTATATCGGATTTATAATTTATAACTTGATGCAAAATATCTTAAACACGATTTTTACAACTGTTACCGTATTTGCACATTAGAATATATCAAATTATATAACAAGTAATTGCAGCAAACAATTAGAAGAAAATTGCAGAACGGCAATATGCAAAACGATCAACAATAAGTTATCAAGACAAACTGTTAAAGAAAAACTTTTAACCTGAGGCCAGTGTTACACACAGTTTTCTTGAAACAGATTCGCCACCTCACCGTACGTGCTTAAGGTATGATACGAGCGTCTGTCTCCTAGGATACAACGGAGGAACCGGTAAAATTCGAGCTCAACAGATTCTACTCCGGTGAAATGAACAAGTGTCTGAAAAATATCACCACAGACTCGAGCAGAAACAGAAATGCAGAAAAACAGAAATTGGATACTGATGAATTTGCAGATGAAAATTCGTGTGTTGAATTGTGGAAAACCGAGACACATATAAAGACTGGATGCACATTCATTTCATAGCAATTAAAACAGAAGTTTTTGGAGTTTCAAC